CAGGGCTACTTTTGCCGGCTGGCAGACGGAAGGCTGGGTCCGGTGGCTCTCTGGCCTGCGCGGCGAATACGAAAGGCGCATGCAGACAATGTGCACCCTTCTCGAGGAACACGCTTACCAGTTAAAGCAGTCGACGCCTGTACGTGATACTGACTGGGACTGGGGCGTCATTACGAAGACCAAGCTGTACGAGTTCGAGTGGCCGCGTGGTGGCATGTTCTTATGGCTCAAAGTTCACTTCGAGGCCCACCCGTTGTTTGGGGCCATAGGGTCGCAGGGCAACGTGATCGATGGACCGGCGCTCTCGTCTGCGCTCATGATTTTCCTAACGCACAAGCCGTTCCTCGTTCTCGTTAGTCCCGGCATGATGTTCAGTTCCACACCGGAGATCGCTAGGCGGCGAGGCTGGGCCTACTTCCGTCTGTGCTTTGCTGCCGAAACGGACGAAATGAACAGCGCCTGTTCGACCCGTTTCGGGCAGGGCGTGCAAAAATTCTGGCGCATCAAGAACGTCGCCGAGATGGAGGCTCTCCTGGAGGAAGCAGGGATGCTCGAGGCCGAAGAGGCTGAGGGTTTGATGAACATGGGTTTGATGGGCTGCTAGATTTTTAGATTGGTGACATAGGATAGATATTTGGCCTGCGCATGTAAGTGGACCCCCTTATTACGATATTGTGAGATAGCAACGCGATTTAAGACAATTAAATAATAAGGATTAGTTGTCGCCGTCCTGAGTACAGTATACAAGTGTCTTGATAGCATAGATGACTTTAAGAACAGAAGAAAAGACTCTTTAGGGATTCCGCATATGTGACAGGTCCATCTCTACCTTTGCTTCTACTGTCGTTCTGTCAGATGGTTATTTAAGTTGATTTAAGAAAGCTGTCAAACCCGAGCGGGCGGGGTCAATAGGGGTTATGTGACCTAGGTACTGAGATAGGTTTTGACAGATGCACGGCATGCGCCACCACGCCCCTGCGTTAAGTATATCAACACACCAACCAAATGCCAACGAAACATTATCTATCGCTGCTGTATCGGGAAATCCAGCCTGTAGGAAGGAAGGCACAACAGTTATGTATGTACTTTCTAGTGGCAGGAGAAGAACGTACCCAGAGCCGAAGTCGGATCAGGCGCGGCTGGGAACAGAAGTTAATGGTTCTATCTGCTGATTGATGCTTACATTCGAGGGAATCCATGATTTTGCTCAGTCGCAAGTTGGACATTTATAGAATGATTATTATCTTGGAAGATGCTATTCTTCGATTCGTGGAATGGTTAATATGAATCCAACTGGCTTTTCCACGGTTTGCCTGGCGAGCTGGTTGGACGAAGACTCTTCAGGAGGGCGAGAATGGAAGAACATGTAGCCAGTATTAAATGTTGAGCACCTGTGTTTCATTGTACATGAGTGCCTTGTCGGTTCCGACTAGAACTTAAAAAGATCGGGGATATAAATTTGCTGCAGTTGCACGAGACATTAGATTCAACGATGGGATTATCTTGTCACTGACTGGGCCCTCGCCGGCACCTGGTTTCACGTTTAAGCAGGACAGACAGAAGAAGACGAGTTTGGGCGGAGAAATGTTCATAATGACAATTCCATTGATTCATGAGACCCCATGACCCCGTTACGCCCATTACAATCGCAATCCGATGCTATCCCCCTAACCGTTTTCCTTTAGAAAAGCTGCTCACCAAGCTGATCTAACTTAATCCTCCTTCAGGACACCGAGGAAAGCCTCGGGGGTCTTAAGGGGCTTGCCAGCCTCCTTCTTCTGTTGACCGAGCTCCTTCTTGACGAATGTCGAATGGTAGGGGTTGAAGCGCAGCATGACCTGCTTGTTGCGCAGAGGGTTCTTCTGAACACCAGCGCGCTTGGTCAGCGAGCCACCCTTGGGGGCGCGGAGGACGCTCTGGATTTCGGAGCTGTTAATCAGACGGCTCAGATCGGCCTGAGCAACGACGTTCGAAGGTAGGAGGAAGTCCTTCTTGAGCTCAGAGGGTGTGGTGGTGGTGCCGTAGATGCTGTCAAGAGCCTTGAAAGCAGAGGAAGTCCAGACGATGAATCGACCGAGGTGACCACCAGGGGCCAGCTGGAGAAGGTTCAGAGCGTAGACAGAGCACGTCTCAACACCGGGCAGATTGCGGGTACCCTTGACGAGCTCGGGACCATCAACCTCGGGGTCGTAGATGACTAGGGGTCCACGGCGCTGGCGGTGACGGCGACCTCGCATCTTACCTTTACCAGCTCGCAGCTTCTTGGACTTCTTAGCCTTGATGATATCGGCAGAGGCGCCCACAGCGGACAGAATGGCGAAAGCGTTGGCGGTCTTAGCGGCAGCACCTCCCTCGAAGACAGCAGAATCGATGACTAGGGGAACCTCGGGGACGCTGGAGATCTGGTGGCCACGGGCGAGGAGAAGAGGGGCGACAGCGGAGGCAGCAAGAGCAGAGGCAGTAGCGAATCGCCTTCCCATTATTAGTTTCAACCCTATTTCACGTAAAAGCGCTTCGGAGCCGTTACTCACTTCTGGCCCTGGTTGATCTTGATATGCCACTTCCTCCAGATCTTGGTAGGGGCGAACATACGACCGGAACGGCACATGTTACCAAAGGCGGCCTGACCGGCACGGTGAGTACCACCACCTGAGACACGGGGGATACGGGCAACAGCGCGACCTGGGCGTCATTGTCAGCAGCTATTTTCACATCGCCAGTTGATTCGCATGTAGGCCAATCGCATCCCAAGCGACTGCGAGCGTCCATCTCATCTTGCGAACTTCAATCCAGGAAAGCGGGCGACTAACCAGTTCCCCAGGACTCGGCAGAGGTCTGGTGACCGGCCTTCTCGCTCACGGCATAGGGCTGGCGCTTGTTCTTGGCCATGCCGGTATGGACCTGCTGGACAATGTCGGGTCGGATGGGTGAGGCAAAGACGGTGGGGATGGGATGGGTAGCTCCCGAAGGAGTACCATCTTTGCCGATGATGGTGACAGTCGGTCTCGAGGCCATCTTGAAGTCGCTGGGCTGTGTGTGAAAGGTTAGTAAATCGCGGAGGGCAGAATTGAGCAGGCGAGGCCCTGGTTCTGTTGTATGAACGGCGTGCGTACCTCGACTTGGTCGTTGACGGTCTAGAGAAATTCGGATGGTGATAATTTCTCAAGTCGAAAATTGACGTTCAAGATCTCCAAATTAATTTTGTGTGGGAGTGGAGGGCTACTCGATCTCGCCTGCTGACAGCCGTCAGACACCCTGTCGGTTCGCGCTTAGATGCTACACAAAGATTATCTGAGTCCAGCCTGTAAGATCTTTTTACAGCCAATCAGAATGTAGGTAGGTATCTTACCTAGTGGACCCGTAGTACCTAGTCTAGAAAGCGTTTACTGTACGTCATCCGCGCTCATGAGGTCGACGGTCATTTATTACACCTTCAACCATATGTGCTATCGGATTGTCTAAAGGCACTGAGGCATGGTCTCAGTACAAAAACGAGAATATCATGCATCGGCTAGAATCTAGCATTATTTTTCGGATTAGCACCCTCTGTCGTTAGCAATTGTCTTAAAGTGTAATAAAAGTGATGATATGGCTGTCGAGGACGGAGTGGATACGACATTGAGCGTATACGTTAAGCTATGCACAGTGACATCCGAATCCATGATTGGCCATTGATTTCCTATGGAAACTAATTCCCATAACCTTCACAATCTGCAGATCGAAACATAGGCCTTATTCCCAGCAGTGGTAATATGGCAATAAAACGTCGACGACAACTGCCACCAAAAGAATTATACGAGCAGGTGAGTCTCCAACACCAGCAATATGTATGCCAGATTTCGACTAAAAGCCGTGGACCTTGATTTTCTTGTGGTCAAGCTCCAAGCCGTTGTGGTCGACTAGGAATTCCTCTACGCAGGGGTTAGTCTAATAGTACCTGGTCGTTGGAAGGGTCTAACAAGGGGCCACATACGCATAACCTTGCGTTGGTCACCTTGCAGTTGAATGACTTCGCCCATGTTACTGTCAATCACGACAGTGCCATTGCAAGCGAACTTCTTCTTAATGACAGTGAGAATCTTCTTTCGATCAAACTTGTTGGGTAACCCCTGGACGGTGGTCAAGGTTTTACGGCCGTTGCGCTCTGCATCGATTAGCTGCGCTGCGCAAGCGCAAGACGAAGCAACTACAGTGGGGAATACTAACGCTGGATCCGAATATGGACGTAGTCCTCTTGCTGGCTCTTCACTTGGCTCGTGTCCTCATCTGCTTCAGCATCGTGGAAGGGATCTACCGTAGGCACACGATGACGCATTAGCGGGGCGGGGCTATATGAGGGTCATTAGCCCAGGGCTAACTAAGGCTGCATACCAAAAGACTTCAGGTTCTCGATGGACATCTATGACACGGGGCTTTCAAGCAACTTGAAAGATGACGGTATGAGAGTAATCGATGTTCTAGACTAGTATTGGCGCAGGATAGTTTCTCAGGACTTTTCAGGACGTTGAGGTATAATGATTTGGGCAGTGCAGTAGTTAGATCAGATGAGTAGTGATATAAACAGTTACTTAGATAGACAAGGAGGAATACTGTGCAGGAGATAGAGGGTGGGGTAAGGTAAGCCGACAAGGAATGCGATAAGCTTCGGACATGCTTTAACGTAGGCACCCCCACCATGCATATGGTATCCGACGTTTATCTAGTTTGGTGGCTCTCATTCGACTCAAAGAAACCTATTGTTTTTGATCCTCGATAGTTTGTAGTTTTGAAAGAAGATGTTCCTGGCTGTGTATAGAGAGGGGTTTGACTTAGTAGGCGTTCGACAAAGAAGCGAACAATTCAACTCATTATAAACATGCCTCGCACTACTTAGATCCAATGGTAACAACACCTCTGGTATTGTTACTTACACATGAAAACTAAGAGATCGACAACATGCGCTACTTACCTCCAGACTGTAGTATCTAGCCGCAGCTTAGGACACCGTCTCTAACAATTAGTCCGAATTGGTGTAGTGGCCAACATTTGACGCTCTCATTATGCAGACAACCGTCAAGCCCGGGGTTCGATTCCCCGATTCGGAGTACTCTTGAGAATTTTCTTTTGATCTCCTTCTTCTCATAAATCGGGTTTATTATTTTTCTTTTTCTTTATTTTATTTTGTTTTAATCCCGCCTCCGCCCCCCATTCTCATGCGAATGAATCATGGGCAGTCACGGCCGGCCGGCTGGCTGTTACCTGCGCGACCCATGCTTGATCACATGATCAGCCACCCACCCATATTAAAGGGATACACACAGAATATTGCACACGAATCTTAGAATAATGCCCTTCTTCTTCATCCTACGATCAGTATGAAAATAGGACCCCAATTAAGAGCTTTACCTCTATAAATGACGCCAATCGTGACAGGAAAATCTCGCTAAATGCTGAGTTAGTTTAGCATTGCTATATGCCCAGGCAACAAGCTTAGCGACCTTCCAAACTTCGAGGGCACAGCTTTATCAAGTCCCTCTATTTTACGAGATTGCCTTAGAATAACCAGTCTGTCGCACAACGACTGCCAAAGCGTCAGGCCGCTTTACTTGTCTAGGGACAGAATACGGACGTATAGCAATAAGTCATCCATCGTAAGTAAGTAAGGGCATTGTTGCCAACGATAACTTTTCCTGCATATACACGACGTGGCTTAGTCTTGTGGTCATGTTGTCTATTATATTAGGTCTCTTGTGCAACACCACCTATCCGTAGACATGCATGTGGAGTAAGAACGACGATTGCTTTTCAATCGGGTTGTGTCAACTGCTCGTCTGTCTGGGAATATCTACATACCTTTCGAGTCATCTAAACTAATGTTTCCTTCTTCTCTTTCCTGAACCGCGTCATCAACTGCCCGAGTTGGGTTACAATATTGCCAAGTCGTTGTAAGCAACATGCTAGTTGCATTCAAACCGCCCTTGAGGACGGTCTGGGCCAATACCGCATAGGAGAGATTGCACATTACTGCGGATTCAAGTTACAATTACTGGTTCGACAATTGACAGCCATCCGAACAAATGAGTAGCGAGCACGCCGGGTGATCCGACAGACGTTGAACAGGTGTTTACCTGCCATATCGAGAAGCCTTCGTATCCACAGTGACATCGAGAACGGTGTAGGTAGTGTATAACCTGCAGATGGCATGCTTAAGCGACCAAAGATAAGTTCGTCGCGTTCCCATCGGCACGCACGGCTGGTATTTAGATGCGCTTACGATGAGCTCCGCCAATAGTCTCTTGACCTACTGCGTGCACGATGGTATTTTAGTCTAAACAGAGCTGTAGTCGGATAGAGATACTACAAGTTATGCGACAACTCATATGTAAATAAGCTCACGCATACTATGAACCACACACATATAGTTTCCATATGGTACTCATCAACTTTTCTCGACTATAATTACTGCTTCCACACCGGAAATCTTACCTACGCTCTTAAGCCGACCGGTATAATATACTTAATCTAGGTTAACAAAGTTGTAACTTGTCTCGGAGAATTTGCAGTTGCGTAGGTATACATAGATTTTGTACATCATGATTAGCAGAAGGACATGTTTAAGGGATGTTAAACACACGGCAAACTACAGTAAGTCTTGATTGAGGATTGTAGCGATTTAGATTATAAGCTTATAATGGCTTGTGTCTATACCCGCGAACAGTTTCTGTGGATGCGATAAGCGAAATAGACCCGGTATTATTGCTTATTTTCAACCATACCTGGGGTAAATACGTTCCTCGTAAGGAGTATTTCTTAACGTCGTGGTCGAGACAACCTCCAATTTACGGTGCCATTTTAATAACTACAACATAGTAAGCAATAACATGACCTCCAAAACTCTATCAGTCGAGGCGATGAAAACAAATAGTGATACACTCCACCCCACCCCACAGTTAGAATTGTATCACTATTTCTTTTCACCGCCTCGTCAGTTACGATAAAAATGCGACTTCGGTTGCCTTAGCTGCTTGGGTGGGCTTATACTAACTGTATAGGTTGAGGGCACAGCATCAATTGTGACACGGGATAACATGAAGACCCTTTGAGCTGATGCTGATGACTAGCGCGAAGATCTACGCATAGCGCAATCTAGCCAGGCGAGCGCTGACCGGGTAGAGATCCGAGAGCCCAGGGTCTGCCTAGGGGTTTCTCAAAATTGCGGCTACTCATTCTCAATCGAGACGACCCATTCTCGGTAGCACAACGTATGTACTGTACTATAAGGTATTCTTATTCGAACACACTTCTCGTCGATTCAGGTGCGAGATACACGCATGCGTATTTCTAGTTACTTACTTATTTATGCTGGCCTGTGTTTTTAAGCATGTTGTGACCATAGCGCAGAGTTACTAATATTAGGACTGCTTGTGGGAGATTATCATCGGAAACAATGGGCTGACCTGTCGAGTGTCTCTCGTGGAAATACCGAGACATTCGGGGATCTATCACAGGCGCACCCCATACCCCATACGCCACGAGGCTAGACTGCATTGTTCCATCTTACCTGCCCAACTCGGGAGCCAAATATTGTCAAGCTGAAAAAAAGCCCATTGTTTAGAGGCATTTTCTCGCCATCTGACTACCTCTATCTGCCACTTCAGGTACACTACCGCTGTTTGACAGGATCAACCCCGCAATGCTGGAGGGCTGGCTTATTCCGAGGCGCCTATACTATATCTGTTATGGTGCCCTAACTACTGTATCTTCCCGAATAGACGAGCATGGGCCTTCATCCAAGCTAGTGAGACGGTTGAAAATTGCTCGGCAGTGACGCAGACAGCATCTTATTCATTTAGGTACAACAGTTTGAAGAAGACATTAGTATACCATACTAACTCCCAACTTAGACAAAGAAGTTCGAAGAGCCTCAAGATCGACACTGATCAATGACCGCCCACGTTCAACAAGCAACCGGGGCTAGGCGGAACATGGTTCGGGTAAGGTCTTAATTCAGGTCGGTAGGTCCCGTGGACCCTGAAAATCGCCTGAAAAATCCATGTGTGGATCCTTAGGTAGCATTACATTCCCAAGTGGGTGGTCACCTTGTCTAATATTTCACCTCTTCTCCTTGACATTGCATACTATCGACTATATCAGTAGAATCCGCACGGACACGTACTGTACTGTCTCGGTCTCCAGCGTGGCTGCATTAGACTACGCATAGTCCTTCGTTCCACCTCTGCGGCTGGACGCTCGGCGAGCAGATTCATCCAATCCCGTCGTAGCTATTAGCCACTATTCTCCGTTCTCGTATCCCATCTGCGCTACTTCGGTACACGAGCAGGGATCGTCAGGCCAAGGCTGATAATATTCGAAGAAAAGATATGGCACATAGGTGCACCAATGTAACTAGCAATTCATAGTATTAAAGCCCCTCTTTCCCTTGCCTTGTGTTGAGCTCATTCATGATGATTCTTTGTCTGCCTCGATTTTCCCTAAGTTCGTCAGACTGGGCGTTGGGATGAATGGTGGTCTCTCGTTTATCCTACTTAATTCCTAATACTACTTGGTGCTGGACCCGTACCAGGATAAGTACTCACTATGCGCTGGAATACACATCTCTTGTCGGCGATGCTCTCGCTGAGCACGCTGACAAGCGCTGATCCAACATGGCCTTCCCAGAACGACGAGTTGGAAGAAATCATGTATCAAGTGAAAGGCTACCGCTCCCGACAATTCGGCGGAACCGTCATACCATGCTCAAGCCAAGCTTCAGGGCCTGGGCGTCACAATGCCGCGGAGTGGTTGAGAGCTGCTTTTCATGATATGGCAACTACCACCATTATCGGCGGCCCGCGACAGGGCGGTTTGGACGGGTCATTACAATACGAAATAATAAGCTCGGATAACATCGGTCCGGCCTTCAACACCACACTCAAGTTCATGGCCGACTACTACACAAGTAAATCAAGTGTAGCCGATCTTCTTGCTATGGGCGTATACTATGCCGTGAGATCGTGTGGTGGTCCGGTCGTTCCCGTCGCCGGCGGTAGGATTGATGCTAAAGAAGGTGGCCCTATTGGTGTCCCTCTGCCCCAGAACTCAGCCTTCACGTTTGGGCAACAGTTCACGCGCATGGGATTCGACCAGACGGAGATGATTCAAGTTGTTGCGTGTGGCCATAGTATTGGCGGAGTTCACGAGACCGAATTCCCCCAAATTGTTCCACTGGGCAGTACAGGGAATGGCGAGGCGCCGATGGATTCTACTGTGGATGTGTTCGACAATAAGGTCGTCACTGAATATATCTCAGGCAATACAACAAACCCCATGGTGTGTATAAAAACCTCATGTGCCTGATCCCTTAGTCTTCTTGTTTCGTATGATCTAGCAAGATCTATGGTACGGGACTTAGAGATCTCGACTAATACTTTTTTATGCACACAGGTCGTCGGTCCTTCGATTCAAGCTACCAGGAATTCCGACTTCAAAGTTTTTAACTCGGATGGAAATGGGACAATATCCGCCATGGCAGACCCTGAGACTTTCCGAAGCATTTGCGCCACGGTGTTGCGCAAAATGATTGAAGTCGTCCCTGATGATGTCGTTCTTACTGATCCTATTCAACCTTACGCTGTTAAACCAGTCGACATGCAGCTCACGCTGAACCCTGGAGCTTCAACTTTGCAACTATCTGGGTTCATACGAGTCCGCACCACCGAATTTGGAGACGATTCTGCCGAGAGTGTGATTTTGACATACAAGAACCGGAGTGGTGGCGACAATTGCGGCACCCTGAGTTGCACGCATACCCTTAATCTTCTGGGGGCTACCGAGGGCTTCGACGACACGTTCGTGGTGAGTTTATCTCATACTGCCTCAAGTTGTATCTTACTCCCCCCTTTTAACGCGTATTCTAGTGGTTCCCCATTAACGTTGAAATCCCGGCCACCTCGGGTATCTCCTCTTTCACTTTGACTGTCAATATGGCTAGTGGAACGTCTCAGGCGTATGACAACAACGGCGATTCGTATCGCGTGCAGGATGCTATTCTCATGCAGAAACCCCAAAGCTGTCTTCTTCAAGGCAAATTGGACGTTGTGGCAGC